GTTAAAGTGACTCCAATATACTGGTTTTTTTTTTAGTTTTTTGCAGTTTAAAAGCTAGGCCCCAGCTTTAATTATCATTCACAGCCTGTAATAGTGTATTTCTCCTGCCCCTCGCTGCTGTTATAAATCAAGTCCTTGAACAATAGCGCCTAAACTCCGCCTGCATCTCTTACACAGACCGATATAAAAAGAGCAAACCAGTAATTACGCTAAACATTTTCAAACTGGTGTCGAACCATTTTGGCTTCACTCTTTAAGTGCCTCGGCCCCACGGAAAACCAGAGCAGCCCACGGCTTCTGAGAACTGGGACCGCAGAGAGCCGGAGGGGCGGAGCTCAGGCCGGATTACAGGGGACCACATGGGGCTCTGGGTGAGACTCTATTGTCCCACTGTCCATAAACGCAGCATGGGGCGCACCTGCAAAGTGGAGAGACCTTTTATGAATCGGATTGTTTTTCTTTGGGACAACTTGTAGGAATGAGGCTCTTGATGTAAATGTGTAACCCTAAGAATAGCCCTGGCTCTTACCCAATGCGTGTTTGGAGAATAGTTTTTGGTATAGTTTTTACACTGTGGTTTGAATATTAAGACTTGTTTTTGTTTGTATTTTTGGCCCCTTTCATATCTTGAGATCTGTATTCTGAAGTAGAAAAGTGACAAAGTAAAAGTCTCTAATATGAGGGCTCTCTCTTATAACATATTTTTCACAACATTTTACATTATGCATGCAACCTGTGTTATTTATGAAACAGCTTTGAGTTGAAGAAGCCGTAACATTTACAAACCACAAAAGATAAAAGATTTTGTAAACCTATATAAAAGTCTCATTCTGTGGTGGACTTACATCAGACCTTGGTTCTTTGTAGAAATGAAGAAATTAGTAAATTTAAAGTGCACCATAAATAATAAAATACTTCAAACATAGAACTGCATGATTCCGCCAACAAGGCCAATTATATAAATATCTATGGCAATATCTCTGTAATTAAAAATTTTGAACAAATTGATAATAATAATAATAATACTGTGAAAGATGTCAAACTTTCTTTGTTTCCAAATTCATTCAATTCAGATGTATGCAGCTAAAATTTCCCCACTGTTGGACGAATAAAGCAATTCTTATCTGAATTCTTATCTTAAAATCTGGAACAGTCTTCTTGAAAAAGTGAGACTAAGTTCAAATCCAGGTTAAAAACAGTTTTGTTTAGCTGCATACAACAAAAGGATTTCATCTTCAATCTTTTCAACGTCCTGTGATTATTTATGATTAGAATGTTTCTTTGCTTCTTTTGGTCAACACTTTGAGTTTGAACCATGTGCTATACAAATACACTTGCCTTACCTCCTGTATTAAAATTACAGCGTCTTATTTCAAGCGTTCATTTCTTGTAATGTTTATGATCATGGCCTGACAAAAATGCATGAATTCACAAGATAATTTTAGTCATGTGTAGAACATTCTAAATGTATGAATTAAAGGAGAAAATGTAAACAATACCAAAAACAAAACTGAAAGTAAAACGCTTCAGTACTTTTATCTTTTTTCTTATGCACAAGGGCAGACCTAAATACAGGCAGAAGTACTATCACGACCAAAAGAACCTACTAATCACAATGTTTATGTCAAATGTACTTTTTCCCACACAAACACAAACGTAAGTATCACTGTGGTTTGGTCTTGGTCATAAAAAATCTGTATCTTTCTCACAATAATTGAGAAAATGTGATGTTGAGCGTCCGTGATCAGAGCCATATCCTGCTCTTCCTGCTCTCCGTGGCCTCTGAATCCGTGGATCAGGAATGCTGGACTGAATTTCCCTCTTCTCACTAAAGCTTGGTCCACGCAGCTGAAAGATCTGTTTATTTTGGGCCTCGTCTTTTAATAATCTTAACAGAGCTCCCGCCCACACTCCCAGCATGCATCTCTTTGTGTGTCCTTGCCGCCTTCAGGCAGTATCATGTGTCCATTATACAGTATATAGTGTGAAGTATAAGTTTTGGTACGACAGGGGAAAAAAAAAAAACACCTACAGTTTCTCTAACAACTTTATAATTTATGGGAGAAAACATGATTATTTATGAAGAGAGATGAAAGATACTAAAGCTTTATCATTATGAAAATGTAAATTGGAGATACAATTTCTAAAGCACTACATGGATAGAGAAGTGAATTTCAAGGATTTTAGTCTAACATTTTGCGTTATTTTTTGTAACACAATGAAAATGCAACAAGATCTGAAATAGAAAAAAAAATCATGAAGTCTCAAATGGAACGATATAATAAATCCAGCAAAGTCCAGTGTTGGCTTTTAGTTTATACTTTATATTAATTTTTGTGATGGGTCCTTCATTCATGGATCTATAATAATAACTGGATAGGGTATTACTAGCTTACAGCTGTCCCACCCATGGCCACAGGGGGCGCCCGTGGTACTGCAGACTAAATTCACGAGGGCTACCCAGAAAAAAGTCCCATAGAACTCAATGTCAATTAAAACAGCTCGACCTCAGCTGACAAAGAGCCTACAGCTTTCAAAATGATCGGATTTTGTGGGGATTTTAGTGTCCCCTGTCATCCTGAACTTTTTTTTCTTCTTAAATCCTTCGGTTTTCTTTAAATCCACATTTTACTGCCACAAACTCTGCTCCTTTCCTTCCCGCTCTGACTCCGCTCTACCGCTGCTCTGATCAGCAGCTCTGATTGGTCAGAGCGCGGCCGACCCCCTCTGTGCGCGTGGATGAAAGCCACACACGCACATTTGGCGTAACGCATCATGGGAGCTCGTCCACTGCGCAGAACCGTAAGGACCAGACGATGCCCAAATATCGGCGAGTTCTGCTAATCTCCCAGTCTCCGTGAAGTCCCATGCGCTACTGAGCTAAAGCCGTTCATTTGAATAGGGCGCTATCTTGGATCACTGGGGCTTGGCTTCATTACACCACATGACTTTAGAAATCTTGCTCTTCTAAAGTTGCTAAAAGTACCTTGAAATCTATATTTGTAAGTCAATATAACATGTACTGTGGCCTGGTGGTGTAAATGCCTGTCTCTAAACATAAGTTCTAACCGTTCTTTGTGAAGAATTTCAGACAAATCAGCGAGAAACGTAGTCGACCGACCGACGTTCACAGTCACACACACGGGGAACTATTACTGCTTCTGCTTCAACAACAAAACCAATGCCAAAAAGTACAAATATCACTTCTAAATATTTAATAACCATGGATAGAATAACACATCTTGCAATATTTTTACTCTCTTTTTAACAGATATGATTCTTGATAAATATTTCAACAAGTTCCTATTATATACAGTCTACCAGGTTTGTCCAGTCCTAGTCTTAGTCCGGTCCTATGCCCTGGTTCAGGACTGGTTTGACACTGCTTTGATAGAGCAGTGTTGTTCTTTTATGTTTAATCCAGCTAAAAATATAGATTATTGAACCATATCAAATCAAATGTATTAAAAGGCCTGTTTTCCCCCAAGGTACAATATAGAGAACTTGAACCTGAACATTGTAAAGTGCTTTGGGGGACCTTGGTCTGTAAACATGCGCTATATGAATAAATATTACTTACTCATTACTTACTTGAACTATCTGATGTTCTCTGGAAACTCTTTGTTGTTGAATAGATATGTTTTATTGAAAAAGATCCAACAAAAATAACATATTGCTTAAGTAAACATGCTTTTCAGAATAGACTGTAAAGTGCTAAAAGTGCTAAAGGCGCGATTCCAGGTCAAACATGATGAATTCCTGAGGTCTGTGCAAAGAGAGAAAAAAGAAAAAATCACCAAAGAGAAAGACATGTGCAACGTGTTTGCAGCATAATAACTCATTCAGACGTGTGAAGCAGATCCCGCTCTGTGAACATACATGTTTTTATTATTACTTAACGACTGCAAAGTAAAATGAAGTCTGCGTCAGTGAGAAAGGTTGTTCTTTCATGCGCTGTGAGGGTGCGTTTGGTTAATCTGCCTCCGTGTCCCATTATCTCCTCAGAGTCAGGTTAACACTGGCTGCAGTTCTTTTGGCCTCATGGTTCATTTGAGGCTCATTTCACACTTGCAAAAGAATCATGGTCTAGTAGCTTTGATGTAAGAACGCGTTTTGCTCTGATTGGATTCAAGATTGCGAATGAGGAGCTGATATTAATTTCTAAAACAAAACAAAAAATACAATTCACAAAACATGTTCTTCTGTAATTGTGTGCTGTTTTCAAAATGAATCCTTTCTTTCCCTCATAACATTTTAATCAGGAGGCTGCCTGTGTTTGTATTTTTTGACCTGGAAAAGTGACAAAACATTTTTATTAAATGTTAGAGTCAATCAACAAAGGAGAATTACTGAATTTTTTAAAATATTAATGAATTTATTTTAAGGAACAGCGTTTATTACTGGACATTACTACACTGTTTACATCTATTTTCCCTGGACCAATGTTAAAGGGGCCGTATATAGTATATGCATATAATATAATATATGTAATATGGACTCTTAGGGGTCTAATAAAGTCATTAGAATTGAAATCCAACTTGTGATGCCAGAATCTTCCTGCCTGTAAGCACTGATTACAGACGCAAACCAGCTACTGGAATTTAGCCAGAAACAAACTGTGTTACATATGAATTTTTTTGGTACCTTGTTTCCTTTGAATATTTTTTGTGTGAATTGTGTTATTGAAGAGCCAAAACCAGCTAAATGTCACCTAAATATCTGGTAACCCATTCTGTTCTCTGATTGGATAACCGTGCTTGAAAATTGTAAACATAATTATATATAAATTCTATTATAAATTCTGTTATTTTAAATTAAGATTTAGATTTTAGGTGTTTGTGTTTGGACTAGATGTGATGGGACGTGAGCGGGACACACACAATCTGTCTTTTTTGGTTATTGGCCAAAAAAAAGACACAGACGTCGTTTTTATGTTATAATTTTTACTTCTTTCATTTCATCTGATGGTTCATTCTTGCCCTCTGACCCTCTCTCCATAGCACCGCTGGACTCGGATGCGTTCGCGTTCTTCCACACGGGGGGGCAGGGCTGTCTGGGCGTGCGGGACGGCGCCCTGATCCTGTCCCGCAGCTGTTCTGAGGAGTCCCAGCGCTGGAAGTGGGTGTCCAGAAACCGCCTCTTCAACCTGGGCTCGTCCCTCTGCCTGGGCCTGACCACGGGCAACTTCAGCGGCCGCATCGACAACTCTCCGCTGGGGGTCTACACGTGCGACCGCGAGCCCCCCAGAGTGCGCTGGACGTGGGGGTGTGCGCAGATGGTGGCAAGTCTGAACAAGCACCTGCCCGCGCCCTCCTTCTGGAACTCCTCGTCTGTGACCTACCCGCCCGAGCTCAACTGGAGAGTGTTTGGAGAAGACCAGGACCTCTGCTCCAAGCTCTCCAAAGGTCAGTCTTACAAAGCACAGTTTGATGTTATTGAGCAAGACGCTTGAAAACCTATTTGGGGTGAATTTCCCGGTCTGTTTGCGCCGATACTGATGGTTCCCCTGTCATGTTTCAAAACTCGCCCGAATGTAAGACACGGGAATAGAGGACGAAGACAAGAACCACGGAACAAACACTTAATGGACTGGCAACAAGAGAGAAAGAGCACAGGGAATTTAACTGGGAAACACAGGTACACATCAGGGCGGGGCGGGCAATCAACAGAACAGGAAGTAATTTAAAGGAGCTATACCCGTTTCTGCAAGGTTTGAATGTTTAGCACCGCCCCCCAAATCGCTCAAAGGCTTCTCATTTCCCCTACGCTCTCATTCCACGGAGCCATCTAGTTGTATTTGTGATCTGACGCTAACATTAGGATTAGCGCAAATAAGTTGTACAACAATCACTGATGAAATGGTACAAAAGCAACGCACTGCTAACAAAATATATAACTGAAAGATTAGCGCTAGTTTCGCGTCCAAATGTAGTCCGAGCATAGATAGTCCGAGGTGGTCCCGCAGGTCTCTCTCATAGACAAGTCTCTCCAGAGGATACGATGTAAGCTAGCTATGTTCACCCGGGCTTGATTTCTTCTTTGATCTTTTTTCCATTTAGTTCCCTCTTCTCTTCCTCACTGTTGTGTCGTTTGGACTGTTTTGCTGTGAATGCAGTTACAGCACGAGTAGTTATAGCCAATTCTGCTAACATACTACTGTGTTTAGCAGCGCTGTAGAGGCTAGAGGACGCAGCCTTGTTCTGTGAGTGGAGGAGAGCGGGCGTCACGCTAAAGTCTCTACTCAGCACTTTTATACGGCCCTGAATTCATTCACAGCTAAATCAATGAGCTCACGTTTTCCATTAAATTAGACTATAATACAACTTGAATGTAGTAATAAGAATTTTTATGAACTCATTAGAAAATAAATTGGATATAGCATCTTTAAGTAACTAAGAAATGACAACCATGACATCCCTCGTTTACCTCTTAACCTTGTATTTATGTAAATTTGACAGAATAGCGATACTTATAGAATATTGTGCATCTCAAATACATTTTGACCCAAAGTTACAGTTTTTCTCAGTCGCTTTGGTGCATTTTTCACATCAGACTTAAAGTTCTCAAAACTATTAGTTCAACCTCCACAACATTGGGTCATTGGTGCACATCATTACGGCAGTTTCTCATTCCTCTGAACACATTTCAAATGCTTTTGTTCATGTATCAGTTACTTTCATACAATTCTCAGCGTTTTTTCAACATCATCATTTGCTTCTGTCCTCTCAGTCAAAATGAAACACACTTATCACTTCTGAATAGTCATTCACTATAAAACTAACTGTCCTCATTTCATCGCTTTGGTCATCACATACAAAATTGTTGAACTAGTTCTCAAAATCATAACTGTCAAGCTAATTTCATACATTTCTTCATCTTTTTTTCCTGTAAATCTTTCTTAAATTGAACAATTTATCTCAGGTGAATTTCAGCTTTCACTCATGAGGTATGCTTTATTGTTCATTTTTGTCACAGTTCTACCATAATGATAATTCTTGTATGTTTGTTCTATGTATATAGTACATATACAGTATACTGTATGTGCCTGCAATTCTACAGCATTGTGCAACAGAAATACAAAGATCATATGCAGTACACATACATACATATACATACTGTACACATACATACAAAGATACACACATACATACATACATACAGTACATACAAAGATACACACATACATACATACATACAGTACATACATAGATACACACATACATACATACATACATACATAGATACACACATACATACATACATACACATATGTTACAGAATGTCAGTTACTCTAAATACAGTCTTTGTGTAACTTTACTGTAGTTTTTACTGTAAATGGCCGTATAGGTCGTGTATAGTGTGCTCATAGTCGTGCTCACAGTGTCACCGAGATCTGACTTTTTTACTCTGAAAACACAGAGAGAGTAAACTTTCACAATGAAAACATGACTAAGTCATTTGACAGTGATGTTCATACTCATTGTTGTTAGGACATATTATTTTGATGACACAGACAGTTTCATTGACGTTTGAACTTGCTTTTGAGGACATAACTTTTCATTTTGAGAAAGTGACGCACTTTTGCAGGTTATCCACGAGGTTCTGCAGTTTGCACTAATTGTTCTGAGAAATGCACCAACAGTTGTGCAAATGTGAAGAACGATGTGAAAAATTCACCAAAGCGACCGAGAAAAACTGTAATGTGTTGCTTGCCGTCGTGAGCTGCCATGTTGCCGTAAATTATGTAGAGTAAATAAAATACTATAAAAATACAATTTTCAATGGACTTGAGATAAATATTTACATTGAATATGTCTAAATACATGATGCATGGGTCTAATTAGGGGATACAAGCACAATGATAAGCCCTCTGCGCGGAGAGATCCTTCCTAATGTGGAGGAGTTGAAGTAGCTCGGGGTCTTGTTCACGACAGGGGGAAGAATGGAATGTGAGATTGACAGACAAAGAGTTTGAAGGCCAAGCTCTCAGTTAAACCGGTTAACCTACAGATTCACACTCACCTATAGACATGAGCGTTGGGAAATGATGAAAAGGAGGAGAACGATCCAGGACACTTACACTAACATTCTACAACATGTATGAGTTCTATATTTTTTGTGTCTTAACTGTTTGATTCTCTGATTTCAACGGTTTTGTTAAGTTCTTTGAGATAACTGCTGGGCTTTACAAGAATACATCGAATTGAATCGTATTGAATTGAATGGGAATACAAGTGGTCGAAATTAATTTGGGCTGGGAGCTCCCTCTGAGATTACGTGAGGAGCTAAGCCATAAGGGAGGAGCTCGGAGTAGAGCCGCTGCTTCTCCACGTCGAAAGGAGCCAGTTGAGGTGGTTCGGGCATCTGTTTCGGACGTGTTCTTGAATAAGCTACCCTTCTACCTGGCAACAGATAAAGTGTATGGATGGATGGAATGGATGGCAAACACAATATGTTGCCACTGTAAATCCTATTGACCCAAAACTAGCGTCCAGCAAATTCTCTCAGCGTCTGCATCAGTCGTGGAGTTACCCGTTTTCCTGAATTGTGAAATACTGGTGTTGTTGTCTGTGGTGTTACTGCCCTGCGCTGGTGCTGCTGTCTTCGGGCCTCAGCTGGATGTGATCAGAGGAAAAAAGCCTAAACGTTTCTTTGTGCCAGTCTGGCTCAGGGCCAAAGACCAAGCCAAGAAAAACACTGGCACGAGCTGAAAACTGGAGCTGTATTGTTGCTGCCCTCAAGTCTATTTACATTTATCTGTCGTATTGAGCCCTGGACGTGTCTGAAAATAGTGAGTTATGGTGAATCTTCCACGTCCATAGCAGCTGCATCAGTAAACAGGCTGTGTTCTCTGTTCTGTCTTGGTTCAGTCTTTGTTTACATTCTGGTTAGTTGAGTCATACAACAACAGTTTATGGTTACTAAGGAATATGCTTGATACTCCAATTTAGGGATCACAAATTTAGATTTCTCCTTTTCTAGACAAAGGAATAGGACACATATTAGATAAGCAGATTGGGAGATAGATGGGGAGATTGATAGATGGGGAGATAGATAGATAGACAGACAGACGGACGGGGAGACGGACGGGCGGGGAGACGGACAGACGGGGAGATTGATAGATAGATAGATAGATAGATAGATAGATAGGGAGATAGATAGATAGATAGATGGGGAGATAGATAGATAGATAGATAGATGGGGAGATAGATAGATAGATAGATAGATGGGGAGATAGATAGATACACCTACAATAGACAAAAATGTAAATTCATAAATAGTAAAATCGAATTGATAACAATTTCTTAAATGAACACAAAGTTTAGTATATTTGTCGGTCAGCGGGTCTTTCTGCTTCTGTCTGCTTCTGCCTGCTTCTGTCTGCCTCTGTCTGCTTCTGTCTGCTTCTGTCTGCTTCTGCCTGCTTCTGCCTGCTTCTGCCTGCTTTTGTCTGCTTCTGTCTGCTTCTGCCTGCTTCTGCCTGCTTCTGTCTGCTTCTGCCTGCTTCTGCCTGCTTTTGTCTGCTTCTGTCTGCTTCTGCCTGCTTCTGCTTGCTTCTGCCTCCTTCTGTCTGCCTCTGTCTGCTTCTGCCTGCTTCTGCCTGCTTTTGCCTGCTTCTGTCTGCTTCTGTCTGCTTCTGCCTACTTCTGCCTGCCTCTGTCTGCTTCTGCCTGCTTCTGCCTGCCTCTGTCTGCTTCTGCTTGCTTCTGCCTGCTTCTGTCTGCTTCTGCCTACTTCTGCCTGCCTCTGTCTGCTTCTGCCTGCTTCTGCCTGCCTCTGTCTGCTTCTGCCTGCTTCTGCCTGCTTCTGTCTGCTTTTACCTGCTTCTGCCTGCTTCTGTCTGCTTCTGCCTGCTTCTGTCTGCTTCAGACTTCTTCTGTCTGCTTCAGCCTGCTTCTGTCTGCTTCTGCCTGCTTCTGTCTGCTTCAGACTGCTTCTGTCTGCTTCAGCCTGCTTCTGTCTGCTTCAGCCTGCTTCTGCCTGCTTCTTTCTCCAAACAGACAGAACTTGTATTCATATGAGTGTCCTCAAAAACACATAGGGACGTCTGATGGAAAACTACCAGACACTTTCACTTTTAGATGTTCTTTATAACGCTCTGTCCTGCTATGAACACGAAAAAAAGTCGTTAAAAAAACAAGTTGCTTCAGAACAGTCAACGAGCAACGATACTCGGATACAGTGACAAACGTTCAGTAACGATACATCAGTACAAAATATGGTTTATGAATAAGTTTTACTCCTGAAGCATAGATCTTACTGAGAAAATAGCAGCAACATGTAGTGCAACGCTTTTGTCAATTAACTGTAGTTCATTCCAAGTGATAAACTACTGACCAGACCAGTTCTTTTCCCAGACCGAGACGGCAAGTGGTTTGCCATTTATCAAATCTCAAAGGGAGGA